CCTCAAGCAATCCACCTGCCTTGGCCTCCCAAAGCGCTGGGATTACAGGTGTGAGCCACTGTGCCTGGCTGCTTAATGCCAGTGACTGCTTAATGCCTTTTTTTTTGTTTTAAAAAACAAAAACTCTCTAAATCACGAGGCTAAGATCGGGAACTGGAGCTATTTTTCAAATTATCACCATTTGTTAAAAGTGATAAGAGGGTGGGCATAGTGGCTCACGCCTGTAATCCCAATACTTTGGGAGGCTGAGGTGGGTGGATCACCTGAGGTTGGAAGTTGGAGACAAGCCTGGCCAACATGGTGAAACCCCATCTCTGCTAAAAATATAAAAACTAGCTGCGTGTGGTGGCACACACCTGTAGTCCCAGCTACTCGGGAGGCTGAGGCAGGAGAATCACTTGAACCCAGAAGATGGAAGCTGCAGTGAGTTTATGCAGTCAGATTGTGCCACTCACTGCACTCCAGCCTGGGCAACAGAGCGAGACTCCGTCTCAAAAAAACAGTGAGAAGGAAGTTGTTCTGGGCTGTGTTTCTCTAATAATCACCTGTGTCATAGTAGTGTAAGAAAACTTTTGGTGATTAATGTACTTGTTAAGTATTTGATGATTAATGTCATCACGTATTATGTGTTATATGTGCTGTATACTTTTATACAGCTGGCTGCACAGTAGGTTTGTTTACACCAGCGTCACCATAAATACTTGAGTTATGTGTCGCACCGTGTTGTGGTGGCTACCACACCACTAGACCATAGGAAAATTTGGGCTCCATTATTATCTTATGGGACTACAGTCATATAAACAATTTGTCCTTTACTGAAATGCCATTATGCAAGGCATGGCTGTACCGCATTGTTTCGACTTTCTCTTATTGATAACCTTTTATTTCCAGTCACAAGAAAACAGTGCTGCAATGAATGTCCTTGTATCTGCCTCCTTCTGTATATTTGGGAGTTCTTGTCAAGCATATGTAATGAGAACTGGAATGACTGGATCATAGGGCATACACATTTATAATTTTGAAATACAGGTGTCTCTCATTGTCCATGGTTTTGCTTTCCCTGGTTTCAGATACCCAGGGTTAATCAAGGTCTGAAAATAGGTGAGTAGAGTACAGTCAGATATTTTGAGAGAGAGAGATCCCACATTCACATAACTTATTGTTGTATATTGTTATATACTTGTTATATTTTATTGAGAATGGGTACTTGTAGGATCTTAATGACTTTAGATGTTATCTTTTTTGTTTATCTGATGGGGGGGGGTCTTGCTATCTAATGCTTTTAATTTGTATTTCTTGACTAGTGGGGTTGAATATCGTTTTGGATATTTATTGGCAGCTTCTATATTTTTTCTTCTGAGTTTCCTGTTGTTCTTTAACTCATATTCTTCTCACTCATTAGTGATTTTATTTCACCACTATATACATGAATGAGACTTATAGGTAGCATATACTACTTTCAAGCCCCCTACCCATTTTCTTTAAATTTGGTAGTCTGTTATCGTTGGAATCAACCAGTAGTTAATGCTGCCATTTATCAAAGAAGCAGAACTGAGTATTTCCCATTTTACTAGAACCTAATTTCATACGGCTTTTAAATGTTGGTAGCAGTTAGTCTTTATAGGTCAAACTGGTCGCACTCTTCATTGCCTATATGGAAACTTACCAGAGTCAATCAGATAAAGGAAAGAAAAGCATTAATAGTTTTTAATAATAATAATCCTATTTGCCAGGCACGGTGGCTCACGCCTGTAATCCCAGCACTTTGGGAGGCTGAGATGGGCAGATCACGAGGTCAGGAGATCGAGACCATCCTGGCTAACACGGTGAAACCCCATCTCTACTAAAAATACAAAAATTAGCCAG